GCTTGGGAGGCGCTCCTTCTAAATATCCACAAACCTACATCATTAACCACCTTCAAATTCCCCTTAAACTCCTTTGCCACAATGTCTACAAAAAACTCAACCATTAGGCCACTGGTACGCTAAGACCACTGCCAACATACTGATCAATATTGTCTCATTGTTTCCTTGTACTCTCCCATATGTCTGTATCCATCTGATGTCTCTTGTTTTAGACTTAGATTGTAAACTCTTTGGAGTGGGGACCATCTTTTTGTTCTGTGCTTGTATAACACCTATCACAATGGGGTCCTGGTCCATGACTAGGGCTCCTAGGTGCAACACTAATAAAAGAATAATGATAATAAAATAAAATAACAATAATGGCTATTATTTATTTCCAATTCAGCAGAAAGCTATGGAATAGCGTGATGTTGTGTCTGCTGATTTTTTAGTACATCAGCATAATGCAGGGTGCAGTCTGGTCTCCCACGTTTAAGAAAGATTAATTCAAACTGGAACAGGTGCAGAGAAGGGCTACTAGGATGATCAGAGGAATGGAAAGCCTACCTTACGAGAGGAGAGACTCAAAGAGCTTGGCTTGTTTAGCCTAATCAAAAGAAGGCTGAGGGGAGATATGATTGTTCTCTATAAATACATCAGAGGGATAAATAAATACCAGGGTGGGGGAGGAGTTAAGTGTCAGTGTTGACATAAGAACTAATGGATATAAACTGGCCATCACCAAATTTAGCCTTGAAATTAGATGAAGGTTTCTAACCATCAGAGGAGTGAAGTTCTGGAACAGCCTTCCAAGGGGAGCAGTGGAGGCAAAAAACCTAACTGGCCTCAAGATTGAGCTTGCTAAGTTTATGGGTGGGGATGGTCTGAAGAGACTCCCTACTATGGAATGTAGCCAATCTGCAACTGCTAGCAGCAAATATCTCCAAGGGACTAGTGATGGGACACTAGATGGGGAGGGCTCTGAGTTACTACAGAGAATTTGTTCCCATCTGTCTTGCTGGTGGGTCTTGCCCACAGGCTCAGGGTCTAACTAACTTGTCTTTGGGACTGGGAACAAATTTTCCCCTAAATCAGATTGGTAGAGACTCTGAGGGTTTTTCGCCTTCCTCTGCAGCATAGAGCATGGGTCACTTGCTGGTTTAAATTTGTGTAAAGAGTGGATTCTCTAAGTCTTTAAATCATGATTTGAGGACTTCAGTAACTCAGCCAGAGGTTAGGGGTCTATTACAGGAGTGGGTGGGCAAGGTTCTGTGGCCTGCAATGTGCCTGCAGTCAGACTAGATGATCATGATGGTTCCTTCTGGTCTATGAGTCTATAAGAGAACAAACTATGGCATACACATTTTCATTTTCCTAGGGTTAATGGCATCCAACATTTTCCTTGGGGAATTTATCAGGTCTTCCATCTGCACACTAACAGCCACATTCTTCATTGGATTATGCTTCAAGCAAGCCCACTGAAACCAACAGGTTTGCCTGGTTACAAGGTAACAAAGGGGAGAATTTGCGCTAGTGCTAAATGCTAAATCTACCTAGAGTGTACACTGACTGCATGCAACAAGATATTAGCAAGAGATGTTAAGAGTAACAAGAAGGGTTTCTTCCGGTATGTTAGCAACAAGAAGAAAGTCAAGGAAAGTGTGGGCCCCTTACTGAATGAGGGAGGCAACCTAATGACAGAGGATGTGGAAAAAGCTAATGTACTCAATGCTTTTTTTGCCTCTGTCTTCACGAACAAGGTCAGCTCCCAGACTGCTGTACTGGGCAGCACAGCATGGGGAGGAGGTGACCAGCCCTCTGTGGAGAAAGAAGTGGTTCGGGACTGTGACAGGTTGGATCACAGAAACCCCCTTGGGAGCTGCCACCCGATGTGCCAAGACTACCCCTGCTTCTGTTTTCCCTGCCAGCTCAGGACTCCAGCACCCTGTCTTGCTGAGTCAGACACTTCTGTCTGACTCCAACACAGACCAAGGGTCTGAATCACTTGTCCCAAAACTGCAAGTTTACCCAAAAACAGCTCACAGGAGTGTGCTTGTCTTTAGCACTCAGATGCCCAACTCCCAATGGGGTCTAAACCCAGATAAATCCGTTTTACCCTGCATAAAGCTTATGCAGGGCAAACTCATAAATTGTTCGCCCTCTATAACACTGATAGAGAGATATGCACAGTTGTTTGCTCCCCCAGGTATTAATACATACTCTGAGTAAATTACTAAATAAAAAGTGATTTTATTAAGTACAGACAGTAGGATTTAAGTGGTTCCAAGTAGTAACAGACAGAACAAAGTAAGTCACAAGCAAAATAAAATAAAATGCGCAAATCTATGCCTAATCAAACTAAATACAGATAATCTCACCCTCAGAGATGCTTCAGTAAGTTTTTCTCAGACTGGACACCTTCCAGGCCTGGGCACAATTCTTTCCCCTGGTACAGCTCTTGTTCCAGCTTAGGTGTTAGCTAGGGGTTTCTCCATGATGGCTCCTCTCCCCCTCTCTTCTGTTCCACCCCTTTATATATCTTTTGCATAAGGCGGGAACCCTTTGTCCCTCTGGTTTCCACCCCCCCTCACTGGAAAAGCACCAGGTTAAAGATGGATTCCAGTTCAGGATCACATGTCACTGCAAGACTTCATTACTCACTTGCCAGCACACACATATACAGGAAGACTCACAGGTAAATACAGCCATCTGCAGACAATGGGAGTCGTCAAGATTCCAAACCATCCTTAATGGCCCACATTTTACATAATTACAATAGGCCCTCAGAGTTATGTTTTATATTTCTAGTTTTAGATACAAGAGTGGTACATTTCTACAAATAGGATGATCACACTCAGTAGATTATGAGCTTTGTAATGATACCTTACAAGAGACCTTTTGCATGAAGCATATCCCAGTTACATTATATTCACTTATATTTTTATAAAACCATATAGACTGCACAACGTCACAGGGACTATTTAGAAAAGCTGGATGAGCACAAATCCATGGGGCTGGATGCGCTGCATCCGAGGGTGCTAAAGGAGTTGGCAGATGTGATTGCAGAGCCACTGGCCATTATCTTTGAAAACTCATGGCGATCGGGGGAGGTCCCGGATGACTGGAATAAGGTTAGTAGTGCCCATCTTTAAAAAAGGGAAGAAGGAGGATTCGGGGAACTGCAGGCCAGTCAGCCTCACCTCAGTCCCTGGAAAAATCATGGAGCAGGTCCTCAAGGAATCAATTCTGAAGCACTTAGAGGAGAGAAAAGTGATCAGGAACAGCCAGCATGGATTCACCAAGGGCAAATCATGCCTGACTAACCTAATTGCCTTCTATGAGGAGATAACTGGCTCTGTGGATGAGGGGAAAGCAGTGGATGTGTTATTCCTTGACTTTAGCAAAGCTTTTGATACGGTCTCCCACAGTATTCTTGCTGGCAAGTTAAAGAAGTATGGGCTGGATGAATGGACTATAAGGTGGATAGAAAGCTGGCTAGCTCATCGAGCTCAACGGGTAGTGATCAATGGCTCCATCTCTAGTTGGCAGCCAGTATCAAGCGGAGTGCCCCAAGGGTCGGTCCTGGGGCCAGTTTTGGTCAATATCTTCATTAATGATCTGAAGGATGGCGTGGACTGCACCCTCAGCAAGTTTGCAGATGACACTAAACTGGGAGGAGTGGTAAATACACTAGAGGGTAGGGATAGGATACAGAGGGACCTAGACAAACTAGAGGATTGGGCCAAAAAAAACCTGATGAGGTTCAACAAGGACAAGTGCAGAGTCCTGCATTTAGGACGGAAGAATCCCATGCACTGCTACAGACTAGGGACCAAATGGCTAGGCAGCAGTTCTGCGAAAAGGACCTAGGGGTTACAGTGGACGAGAAGCTGGATATGAGTCAACAGTGTGCCCTTGTTGCCAAGAAGGCTAACGGCATTTTGGGCTGTATAAGTAGGGGCATTGCCAGCAGATCGAGGGACGTGATCATTCCCCTCTATTCAACATTGGTGAGGCCTCATCTCGAGTACTGTGTCTGGTTTTGGACCCCACACTACAAGAAGGATGTGGAAAAATTGGAAAGAGTCCAGCAAAGGGCAACAAAAATGATTAGGGGGCTGGAGCACATGACTTATGAGGAGAGGCTGAGGGAACTGGGATTGTTTAGTCTGCAGAAGAGAAGAATGAGGGGGGATTTGATAGCTGCTTTCAACTACCTGAAAGGGGGTTCCAAAGAGGATGGATCTAGACTGTTCTCAGTGGTACCAGATGACAGAACAAGGAGTAATGGTCTCAAGTTGCAGTGGGGGAGGTTTAGGTTGGATATTAGGAAAAACTTTTTCATTAGGAGGGTGGTGAAGCACTGGAATGGGTTACCTAGGGAGATGGTGGAATCTCCTTCCTTAGAGGTTTTTAAGGTCAGGCTTGACAAAGCCCTGGCTGGTATGATTTAGTGGGGAATTGGTCCTGCTTTGAGCAGGGGGTTGGACTAGATGACCTCCTGAGGTCCCTTCCAACCCTGATATTCTATTCTATGATTCTATGCAACGTAGGTAGTATATAAACATTATAATTGCTAGCTACAACCTGAACCCCCCTATTAGCCAAGCATTTTGGCAGCTATGTAAGAGCTACTAGAGGGTATGAAAATATCTGCATTCAAGTTACCTGAAGTTCATTCTTGGTTTCCTTATTTTTAATCCAAATTTTGCCCTGAGTCTGTGGATCAATTAACAAAGGATAACGAGCTGCTTTCGTGGCAATAATTCCATTCTGTATGGATAGGTCATCGTTTGGCAGTCCTTGGAGGTTCCACTCACTGATGGTCGGAGCATCAATCAACATCTCTGTAAGGTTTAGGTTGTTGCCAAATGGGATTTTCCGGGTTTTCATTTCCTTTTGCCAATCATTTAACAACAGATTGCGGAACTCTTGGTTAAAAGGACCAGAATACGATAGAAAAGCTGTAGCCAGCAACACATCTCCTAAAAAAAAAAAGCACAAGATACTGAAACACTGTGACAGCTTTGTTAGGGTAATACATGTGCTTGGATGAAACAAACAAGAGAGACAGGCAAAGCTTCCAACGGGACCTACAGTATAATTTTTTGTGTAAGGGCAGATTTATTTGCTTGACTGTGCTGTGTGCAAAATATCACTGAAAATGTTTTTTTTTTCTAATTCTAACCTCATGATTTTATTGAGTCTTTGGGACCATTTAAAAAATCTAGTTTTTCAAAGGTGTTCTGAAAATTCCCAGTGTATCATACCAGCAAGTATCTGTTGTCTGGCTATAATGAAAGAAGGACAGGAGACATTTGACATGGGTTTAATTAGGCCGCAACAGTATTATTAGATGTCTGGGACTACCCGGCAGATAAAAGTGTACAGTACAGGTAACCCCATGTTTATTCCGTAATTATCTGGGGGGCTTCCACCAGCTCCCCCTATTTTTCCATCCAGGTCTCTCCAGCAAATCCATTGCCGGGATTTTACCATCCACCCCCCTCGTAGGAGGGTTAAGGTGGGCTATACGAATGGGGGGGGTGGCTCCATGCCATACCAATCACAGAAGTCCCTAACCGTCCCCCGTTCACTCCTTTAACAAACACCTCTTTTTAAGTCTTTTTCCAAGCCATTTATCCGGTCACTGTATGCCTTCCCTATGGAGTACCTGCACTGGTCATCCGCCACAAGGAGGCACCAGCAATTAGTTTGGCTGCCTCCAAGACTGCTCCGTGTAAAACAGAGCTTCCGGTGCAGGGCTGCCCCTTTTAAACCCTGCATTCCTAGGGGGTGAGTCAACGACCACATGTCCCCTTTTGCAACAGTTTTCATCTCCACCCCCTCCCTGCCCCCAGCCCTAAAGCACTGGTCCCTTCATTCAGCCAGCCAGCCAAATACTCCCCACACTTAAAGGTGCAGGAGGGTCACTCTCTTGTCTTGCTTCTCGTAGTCATTAATCTTTAGCCTCAGGGTGGGGGAAGGTCTGGTGCTGATGGTCTTTGTCAGCTTTGGGGGTTTTCCCCTCTCCCTGCTCTGCAATGAAACACTGAAAAGCCAGGGTGCAGGAGAAATAGACATCCCAGGCAGGAGGCAGCAACAGCACAGTGCCTATTGTTGGCAGGAGGCTGGAAGAGCAGAGTTTTTCCCCCAGTCACATCCTTGCTCAGTGCAGAGAGCCCAACCTAGCCTGAGAAAACAGGGAGGTGTGTGCACAAAATACTGCATCCCCGGGTACATCTACACGGCACACTCACTCACTGCAACATGTAGAGTGCACATACTGCACACACACCCTACCACAGGTATAAATAATAGCACAGATGGTGAGGCACTGCTTACGTGATCAAAGACATGCCAGAACTTATGGTATATATATTACATGGGGTCTCTGTATGCCCAAGCAGTGTCTCTCCCATCTAACTGCTATTTTTAGCAGTGTTCATCTCACTGCCTCCCTGCTGCCAGAGCATTTCCCCACCGCAGTGGAAGGCTCCAAAAGTGGGTGCTGCCTAGCATTTCCCCGCTGCCTCCCCCTGCCAGAGCCCGACACTGATGCATATAGCTACACAACACAATATGGATGCAGCTGGCTTTTCACTTTGGCATGTAGCTACCCATGCCACACATGCCAGAGCTGTAACAGTGTAGACATAGCTCCAGTGTCTCCTTCAGTAATGGGAGTGAAAGTAGGGAATACCCTTATGTTTTGATATATTCCAGGCACCCATGATTTGATTCAACAAAAGGAACATGTTCAGTTGTATCCATGATTTTTCTAATTCCACAGCAGTTATCTACATGGCATGCTAATGTAATCATTAAGATCTGTGATCTCTGTTGGACAGGATCTAAACTGTTCAACCAACATTTTTGCAGTGGATAAATGAATTTATTTTCCAGCTCAAGAAGCAGGGGCTTGGGTATTTGGAGCATAAGGGCTTGAGTTCATTCCCATTAATTTCCCAGTGACCCTGGCACACATCATGGCCACTGTTACAGTCTATGTGGCCATGGACGTTACATGTTATCAGAAGAAAAATTTAACACCTGTGAAACTGGTATTTTTAAAAGTGGTTTATATCTCCTTGCATTATTTGGATGGTATCGTAGATTCAGAGCTTTGATAGATACTGAAGACTAAATCCAATCCAAATGCCCAGCAAGAATAACAAAACAGTTAACTGTTAAGTAGTTAAAGTTATTTCCACCCAGCAGTGCAAATTATAGAAATCAAGAAAATAAAAAAGTGAGTTCAACCTTCACACAATATAGTACCAGTCCCCAAGCACTAGTCCCCCACCATCAGGACTCCACCAACCACCACACTAATATCCTCCAACACTATCATGTTAGTTTATAACCAAGACTAGACGGTTAATGACTCTTTTTAAATCAAAAGTTTAGATTCTGAAAATTATGGCAACAGTATTAGTAGACAAAAATTTTTTAAATGATTATCATTGTGTAGAGAGAAACTGATGAGCAATAATGTAAATATATAGAAGCAAAGTGGTCAACTTTCAAAGTCGTTTATTCCTTATAATTTTTACAGTATAGAAAAATCTATTTTTAATCTCAAAAACCACAAATTTACTAGCAGGATCTGAAGAAGGTTACTTACTGTAAATATACTTATAACTCAAAGTATTCATTGGAAAATTGTCCAAAAAGTTATTCTATCCTTGAAGAATAAATGGTCTAAGTGTGGGGAGGATACACTCTATTATTCATACAGAACAATTAATCTCTATTTCAGGCACAAATCTTAACATCTTTAGCTATACAAACTATGCTGCTTCTGTAATAGTCATCATTCACATGTCACCCTCTACTAGCTGCAGTCCACAGATTATACTCCCTAATATTACTATATAAGCATGAAAGTATCATGAGTTACCACTAGTTTTATATGCTGTACAAACTATTTTGTACCTTACTATGTGCATCTTGCTTTTATGTAGTGTTTCTCACCCAAAGATGACAAAAAGTGCTTTACAAAGAGAATTAGACTTTATCCTCATTTTAGAGCTAAAGAAACTGAGACACAGAGGAGGTTAAGTGACTTGTCCAAAGTCACCTAAAGAAGTCACTTGCAGGGCAGGAATAGAACCCAGGTGACTCATAGACTCATAGACTTTAAGGTCAGAAGGGACCAATATGGTCATCTAGTCTGACCCCCCGCATGATGCAGGCCACAAAAGCTGACCACCCCACTTTCCCTTAACTCTGCTGTTGAAGTCTCCAGATCGTGATCTAAAGACTTCAAGTCGCAGAGAATTTTCCAGCTTGCGACCCCTGCCCTATGCTGCGGAGGAAGGCGAAAAACCTCCAGGGCCAGTGACCTTAGTTTCACTCCAGTTCATAGTCACAGGGAGAGTTCACAGTAAGTCTGTATAATGAAAAATTATGCTTACCCACAAGCCTCTTAGTTTGTGCAGCAAACTCTTTACTCTGTTCAGTCCATCTCTCTTTTTCACCTGCTAGACCACTTATAAGACTGGAGGCTGTTTGCATCTTATGTCTGCAACGTTCTGCATCTTCAAGTAAGGTCTACAGACCACACAAAAAAACACTGATTGGAAGTGGAAGGAAAAACCTACTTTTAATTAAACCCTTAATGGCATAATGACTCACAAATAGTACTTTAATATTTACTGTATTACCATATGCCAAGTATCATAGTTAAGGCTGCGTGTCTGTCACGGAGGTCACAGAAGTCATGGATTCCGTGACTTTCCGTGACCTCTGTGACTTCTGCAGCAGCTGGTACTGGCTCAGGGGCTGTGCACCTGGGCAGCCCCTGGGCCAGCATCAGCAGTTTGGATGTGTGGGAGGTAGTTCTGGGCTAGGGCAGGGGGTTGGGGTGTGGGGTGGCGCTTACCTGGGGGGGGCCTCCCTGGCTCCCACCAGCATGTCCCTGCAGCTCGTAGGCAGAGGGGCCAGGGGGTTCCACATATTGCCTGTGCCCGCAGGCCCCGCCCATGAAGCTCTGTAGTGAGACCGCCTGGCTCCCGACGGCCCCTGAGAGAGAGGAGCCAGAACAGGCACCCAAGTGGGCGGAGCCACCGCCACCTGTTCCCGCCCCCCGGAAGTCAAGGGGCGGGACAGGAAGTATAAAAGCCAGGCCCCAGCACTCAGTTGGGGCCGAGCGGCCAGAGAGAACAGACGCTCCTGCTCGGGCTCCGGCAAGACCGAGCCTCCCCAGAGCCAGATACCCGGACGCTGCGAGACCGAGCCTCCCCAGAGCCAGGTACCCCGAGGCGGACTCGCCGAGCCTGCCCCAAGAGCGGTACCCCTAGGAGCGTCCCGAGCGTCCCCCTGACCCAAGACCGGAGGAGCGGCCCGACCTAGACAGCCCTCAGCAAACCGAGGAGCCCATGGTCTGGGACCCCGCTGCCGAGCCCAGCGATGAGCAGGTACCAATGGAGGAGGAGGAGATGGGAAGTGGCCCGGGGATAGCAGACCCCGAGCCTATGTCAGTGTGTTGCGGTCAGGATCCCCACTGACCCCGCGGCAGACGGACTGCTGCGGATAGGGCCCCGGGCTGGAACACAGTGGAGTGGGTGGGCCTGTGTTCCCCCTGCCACCCCCACACCGGGTGGCAGTCTCTCCTCCTCCCTGCCCAAGGGCCAGAACTGCCCCAAAGGGGGACCGATCCCCTGGAACTATTGTTTGCTGCCCCGCCCTGACTAAGGGCCTGGGCGTCCTAACTTTGTTTGTGCTCAGCTCCTGCTGCAAGGACCTGAGCCTCCTTGGACTATTGATTGTTGCCTCGCCCTGCCTAAGGGCCTGGGCTTCCTGACTTTGCTATTGCTCAGCTCCTGCCACCAGGACCTGAGCCCCTGGGACTACTGATTGTTGCCCCGCCCCGCCTAAGGGCCTGGGCGTCCTGACTTTGCTATTGCTCAGCTCCTGCCACCAGGACCTGAGCCCCCTTAACTATTGTGTGTTGCCCCGCCCTGAGCTAGCGTTTGGACTTATTTGACGCTGTAATTGCCCAGCTCCGGCTGCAAGACCCGGAGCGTAGAACTGATTTGTTGTACAGCCCCGACTGGGGGCTGGAGCTCCTTGCAAAGGCAGGGTGCCTTTTGTTTAGCTCCTGCCCTGAGGGGCGGAACCCCGAGACCCTCAAAACCCGAGGACTGATTTGGGCCGCGTAGTGAGGCGGCCTGGCTCCCGACGGCCCCTGAGAGGGCACGACCCCCGCACCGGACTATTACAAGCTCCCATTGCTTGCGGTTCCCGGCCAATGGGAGCTGTGGAGCTGGCACTTCTGGCGGGAGCAGCGCACGGAGCCCCCCTGACCACCATTCCCCCTAGGAGCTGCAGGGACACACGGAGACGAGTAGGGAGCCTGCAAGCCCTGCCAACCTTCCCCCACCCAGCAGCAGCAGGGGGCCCAGGCCATGCACCGCCGTCACCCGCATCCCCCCCAGCACCGGCGGGGGGCCTGGGCAACCCTCCTCCCCAGCACCAGCGGCATCCCCAGACGGCCCCCCACCAAGCACCCATGGCCTCCCGGCCCAAGTTTTAGTTAGGGGTATATAGTAAAAGTCATGGACAGGTCACGGGCCGTGAATTTTTGTTTACTGCCCATGACCTGTCCATTACTTTTACTAAAAATACCCGTGACTAAAATGTGGCCTTAGTCCTAGTGGCCTTAGTCAGAGCACGTAAAACTGAAATGCTCCATCACTATGCATTATCGTCAAAGAATGGATGCATATTTGGGCCTGCTCCATACAATTGTATATAAGGGATCAGGGGCACAACAGGACCCAACCTTTCCCATAAACACTGCAGCCCAACCACACAGTCAGGACTCTGGGCAGAGTCTACAGCATGCTGCCTAGCCCTGCCCACGGCTCAGACCCCCAGAGACACATCTCACAGGGGGTCACAGAGAACACACACTCACTCCAGTGGCTCCTGGTCCCTTCCCCTAGTGGACAACTATATGGCATAGGCGCTATGTGCAGGATCATGCATTCTGGGTCACACCTGTGGCTGCCCCAACCCAGGATGGAGCTACTGAGTCAAGCTGGATGGTTGAGCTTTCTCTGTGGCTACGAGGGCGGCCGAATCTGCAGCACAGAGCAGCTGGAGCAATACAGACCACAGATCCATCATGGGAACCTCAGGGCTGGAACAGGTGGGAGGAGTCCAGGGCTGAGGAGGACTTGAAGAGATGGTCCCTAGAAGGGGAAGATCCCATACCACTGTGCAGTGCGGGGAGCTTCCATCTGTGTCCCGGGGGATAGGGATGCCTCCTATATGTCATTGTGCGTGGCATAGGAGGGACCAAAGGGGACCCAGTTACTGCCCCCGAGACACTGTCACAAAATCTATCTCTGAATTAAAATTTCAGGCAGATCTGACAACCTCAGGGAGACTCTCATACGTAATTCCCCCTCCTCCACATCATGTGCTTAGGGTGACCAGACAGCAAGTGTGAAAAATCAGGATGGGGGTGGGGGGTAATAGGAGCCTATATAAGAAAAAGACCCAAAAATCGGGACTGTCCCTATAAAATCTGGACATCTGGTCACCCTACATGTGCTTGACCCTAAATACCCAAACCAGAACCCTCTGGCCCTTCATTAGGAAAATTCTGGTTGTGCCTCTTCATGGGAACCTTTGAATTTTGTTTTAATTTTTTTACGGTACGCATGTATGTTAAGTGCTGGTGAAAGGTGGGTGACATCTGCCAGCCTGGGAGCTTAAAGTCCACAATTTCAAATGTCTGTGCACAGAAATATTCACATATTCATGTAACAAATGCAGTGTTCAATGCATGAAGCTTTGTGCTACATACACAGTGGGTTTTAATGAGGCAGAAAAGTGGGCCAGGAAAGTATATGAGAAAGCAAAAAAAAAAAAAAAAAAAGAAGGATGTCCCCCAAAAATTCAAATTTTGTTCCCTAAATTCTCCATTTCAAAGGACAATAGTGAGTTTGAGGAGATGCACTGTATTTTGTGGTTGCATAAATAGTATCAGTGACTAAAACAGTCAAAGAGTATCTTAATGTAAGGAATACTGCACCTGTTTTTCCGTCATGGCTTTTTCATACTCTGCCTGTACAAAATCTAATTCAGCTTGTTTGTCATCCAACTCTGCTTGGGCTTTCTGCAGATCTAGCATGGCAGTGGCAAGGCGATTCTCCTGGACTGCCAAATTAGCCTACAAAATATACATATGCAAAGCAAATCATACACAGAATGTTTCAAAGCATTTGATATAAAGCACATCTCAATTAAAGCTTCATAGCATTATATTTAAAATCTAAACTGCTCTGTATAATTAAGCTATTACTCAGAATCCTTTCAATTCAATTGTCTGACAGACTGAATTCTGCTACAATTCTCAGCTGCAATTCTGTGGTAAAACACTTCGCAGGAGGGGATAAAGCATTTCACTCAGATGACCCTCCACATTTTCTCGGACTACATGTGTACAGAGAACACATTTCTGATTTCAAATATAAACATCACAGACCTATAGCTATTCCATGCTCAGATCATGTCCTTCTAATTCCTTCTTATTGAGTATCAATCTGTTCTTTGAAAGGTCTCAAAGTATAAAGGAGATAATCAACCATCTCATCTAAAATACAGTACTAACAAGCCAGTACTACAGGTCATGTAATGCCCTAATTTATGATACAAATCCCATGCTTATATTAAGAGTTTTGTGAATGTAGATAAAGGGTTGTAGGTAGGCCAGGTCCTTGGCCTTATGGTTTGCCCTTCTCGGTCAGCAGAAAGCAACTGGAAAATGGCCATATAGGGGGTAGCTGGGGATTCCTTTGACATAGAGAGTTATGCAGCTAGCAGAGACAGCTCCACACCAGACACTCCTGGGCCCCCTCAATATAAGAGCAGCACTGAGATAAGACAGCAATGCCTTGCACTCCTGCAACAGCCAACTGGAATCATGGCTCCTAAGAGGCCATTCCTGCTGGTGTTGGTAAAATTAGCTCTCAAGCTGCTCCAACTTATACTGGCGTCCAAACCAGCGCTAAGGAAATGTCCCCAACATTGATATTTTCTTTTACGAAATTCCACATTTTACTAATTCTGGAGGCATTTGGTTAATTATGATTTACTCAGTTTTGCATGAAGTTTGTGTTTGCCCCTACAAGTCTCATTGTTAGATAAATAAATACTTCAACTGTGAGCAAATCCAGGTTTGTTTATGAAAACGCAGATGTTACTTTCGAAAATTTATCTCTCAGTACATCTATCTGAGAACAGAAATGGCATGGGCAAATGCCCAGAAAGCACTTCAACTCTGTGGAAATGGCAGTTTGAAGTTTCATATTTATTGTGTAAGTGATTTTCAGATCTAATATGCTTAGTTTATAAACAAAAAAGGAATACATATTTATAACTGCCTGCCCTGTAAACTGCTCCTTGAAGCTGGGTTCTTTCCCTCTGCTGCCTCATTACCAGTCATAAAGGTTCCGCAGGCCTAGTTACTCCCTTAGTGCTACCTGTATAGCTCCTTCATTAGTCGCTCTATGGATACACAAGAACTGGATGCAACAGAATCCAGTTCCCTATGCCATACCTGTTTCAGTTCTGCAGTGCTTACAGGCGTCAAATGTGGTCAGCACAACTTTTTTCCACCCAAGTGAACAGACATGGCTAAATATATACAGGGAGCAGATTCTGTGAATAAGATAGAGCTGTTCTACTTTATTAAAAAGGCACTTAGAGAAAGGGTATGTCTACACTACGGGATTAATCCGAATTTAGATAATTCGAATTTGGGAAACAGGTTGTATAAATTCGATTGTGCGCGGCCACACTAAGCACCTTAATTCGGTTTTTAACCACATTAATTCGGTGGTGTGCGGCCACACTACCCCATTAATTTAAACACAGTAATTCGGTGGTGTGCGGCCACACTAACCCTAATTCGAATTAACAAAATCGATTTAGGCGCTACTCCGCTCGTCGAGGTGGAGTACAGAAATCGATTTTAAGTGCCCTTTAATTCGAATTAACTGGCTCTGTAGTGTGGACGGGTGAAGGGTTAATTCGGATTAACGCAGCTAAATCCGAATCAAAGTCGTAGTGTAGACCAGGCCAAAGAGAGCCCAAAAGCCTCAGTTCAGCAAAGCATTCAAGCACATGCTTAAAAGCTTTACTAAATCAGGATGGACTTGCGCATATGCTTATTGTTTAAAAATCCACAACTCACTGGGTGAGCCCTCTTGTGGCATTTTTGATTTTGTGGTGGTGAGTCCCCTTAGACACATGCTGGAATTAGTAGTTTGTCTGCCCACTGGGCCAAATCCCACAGTGTTATTTAGGAAAACCTCCCACTGGCTTACCAATACAGACTTACCTTTAAGGGTAACACTTCTTTATTGATAGAAAAAAATGCAGCCATAGCCTTGGTCCATGAGCAGAGGCCAGACACATTCCCACACACTCGCTTTGCCGTCTCAATGTTATAGTCTACCATTTCAAAGTAAGGATTCAAAAGCTCCACAACTTCTTCATTGATTGTATCTTTTGGGAATTGCTGGAGACATCATGGAGAGAACAATTTAGCCACACTGTATTACCACACATCAGTCAGCTTCTCCAAAGGTGTTTTAAAAAACTCACCAACAATTTAATTGGCACATCCTAATTTGTGAATGGCCTGTGATTTAAGCAAATAGATAACATAACTATCCCCCAATAGCAAATTATCTGACAATGAGCCCAATCCTACAATCCTTACTTAGGCAAAACTCAGATGGGAAATCAACAGACACTTCCTTTGAGTGAAAACTGTACAATTACGCCCAGTTTTTGTTTCTTCACAATACAATGGGTCGAAAACCCATAACTTTTAAAATGAAATATATAACATATACTTCTTACAACATTTGCTCTGCTGCAGCCATTAGACAATCCATTTTTCTCTTCTATGTTTTTAAAGTACCTGCAGGTTCTGTAAGAAGTTTCCTGCTGTCATCAATTTCAGTGATTCCTGCCACGATGGGATGGTGCAGCTTTTCTCCTGGTCCACTTTCACACTGTTCACTTTTCTCTGGAACAGCAGGAGCACGCAGTCCATAATACGCATGATAAGATGAGGAGGTCGGCCTAGTGTACGGACAGTGGCAATGTCTGCAGGTTTGATTGTCTATGAAATCGAGAGGAAGGAAAGGGATTATTACTGTTGTTGCTGTAGTAAACCATGTTGTCCATCTCAAAGACACGCATATCAAAAAATGATGGACACTTGCATTGAATCCATCCTACAGGCATAGGATCTGTTTGGAAAAATTAATCCAACCTACGTATTCATAGCAAGTTTTTAATTGTTAAATCATGCTCAAGCAGAATAAAACTAGAAAGGTCCAGTTCTGAAAGGTTTTAACTGCTGCCTCTTGTAAGCTACTAAGTAATTTCTGCTCAGCAGCACCAAGTAGGCACTCAGCAATTTACACAAGCAAGCCTGTTCTGAGGGATGAAAAAGAAGAGAAAAAGCTCATTCAATAACTTAAGTTTAGTTACATGACGTAATGCTTTTGTTTGCACATTTTACAAGCAATTATCATTGGTCTACAATTTTTGAGAAGTCGTCTGCTTCAGAGATAAAATGTGCTATTTATTATGTATTTTGATGTGCTGAATTCAAATATGACAATTAAAACAACTGATTGGCTACTGTTTCTAAGATATTTAAGTTTTTACATTTTATGTCTATGTATATTGTGTAGATAGTAGAGTTTTAATCATAAATTGTAAACCTAGGTCTTTTCATGTATTATGGTTGCTTTACATGATAATATTTCACCTGTCCTGTTTATGTAACACTTTAAAAATCAGCAAAAGGGTTACATAAATAAAATTTATTATGAAACAAAAGGCAAAAAACTATTATGTACATAGTTTAGTCCTATTCAGTGTCTACTCGGCGCTTCTTGGCTTGTCTCTTGTATTCATTCAATGGAGCATCTCTTGTCACTGTCCAGCAATAGTCTGCAAGCATTGATGGGCTCCATTTGCCCTGATAGCGTTTCTCCATTGTTGCAATGTCCTGGTGAAATCGCTCGTCGCTCACTGCTCCGCAGTTCGGTGGACAAAAATCTAGATGAGAGTGCAAAAAATTTATCTTTAGTGACATGTTGCAACCAAGGCTTTTGTATGCCTTGAGGAGGTTTTCCACCAACAACCTGGAGTTGTCTGCCTTGTTGTTTCCGAGAAAATTTATTGCCACTAACTGGAAGGCTTTCCATGCCATCTTTTCCTTGCCATGCAGTGCATGGTCAAATGCATCATCCTCGAAGAAGTTCACGAATCTGAGGACCAACAAAGACACCTTCCTTTATCTTAGCTTCACTTAACCTTGGAAATTTTCCATGGAGGTACTTGAAAGCTGCTTGTGTTTTGTCAATGGCCTTGACAAAGTTCTTCATCAGACTCAGCTTGATGTGTAAGGGTGGTAACAAAATCTTCCTTGATTCAACAAGCTGTGGATGCTGAACGCTTTTCCTCCCAGGCTCCAATGACTGTCGGAGTGGCCAATCTTTCTTGATGTAATGGGAATCTCTTGCACGACTATCCCATTCGCAGAGAAAACAGCAGTACTTTGTGTATCCAGGCTGCAGACCAAGCAAGAGAGCAACAACCTTCAAATCGCCACAAAGCTGCCACTGATGTTGGTCATAGTTTATGCACCTCAAAAGTTGTTTCATGTTGTCCTAGGTTTCCTTCATATGGACTGCATGACCAACTGGAATTGATGGCAAAACATTGCCATTATGCAGTAAAACAGCTTTAAGACTCATCTTCGATGAATCAATGAACAGTCTCCACTCATCTGGATCGTGAACGATGTTGAGGGCTGCCATCACACCATCGATGTTGTTGCAGGCTACAAGATCACCTTCCATGAAGAAGAATGGGACAAGATCCTTTTGATGGTCACGGAACATGGAAACCCTAACATCACCGGCCAGGAGATTCCACTGCTGTAGTCTGGAGCCCAACAGCTCTGCCTTACTCTTGGCTAGTTCCAAATCCCTGACAAGGTCATTCAGTTCACCTTGTGTTATGAGGTGTGGTTCAGAGGAGGAGGATGGGAGAAAATGTGGGTCCTGTGACATTGATGGTTCAGGACCAGAAGTTTCATCCTCTTCCTCTTCCTCGTCTGACTCAAGTGAGAATGATTCTGGTGCATCAGGAACCGGCAGTCCTTCTCCGTGGGGTACTGGGCGTATAGCTGATGGAATGTTTGGATAATGCACAGTCCACTTTTTCTTCTTTGACACACCTTTCCCAACTGGAGGCACCATGCAGAAGTAACAATTGCTGGTATGATCTGTTGGCTCTCTCCAAATCATTGGCACTGCAAAAGGCATAGATTTCCTTTTCCTGTTCAACCACTGGCGAAGATTTGTTGCACAAGTGTTGCAGCATATGTGTGGGGCCCACCTCTTGTCCTGATCTCCAATTTGGCAGCCAAAATAAAGGTGATAGGCTTTCTTAACCATAGTGGTTATACTGCGCTTTTGTGATGCAAAAGTCACTTCACCACAAACATAGCAGAAGTTATCTGCACTGTTCACACAAGTACGAGGCATCTCTGCTCACTTTGGCTAAACAGAAATGTGTCCCTTTGCAAAATCAAACACTGACAAATAAGAGAGCACCACACTGTATGATTTCTAGAGCTGATGTAGGGCAATTTGTTCAGCAGAGTGATGTAAGCTTCGTTATGATTGCATCATCCATGACTTCTAGGAATAACATGATGCAATTCATATCATGTATGATGCAATACCAGCTTCAGATTGCATCATTCATTGTTTTGCCTAAAAAGCAAGTACTGTCCAAACCCAGTCATAGATTTATTCATAGATCCAGTCAAAGATGTATTTTAGTCATTTCTGGTTTAAACTGAGATCCCTTCCCTTTATAACACACTTATCCTCCGCCATTCCCAAGTCAAGGGTCGTATATACTGACCCAATAGCATATCTTGAAAACTAGAGCCAATCAACAATTTTAAGCATCATTTTCGTTCTCAGTGACCCAGAATTAGTAAAGTTTGACTACATTTATTTCAGAAGCATTTTGGCTGTACAGCAGTGTTATCAGTGTAATAGAAAGGACAAAGGGACCGTAATTTGTGTTAAAGAATTTTACATTTTTAAAAATTATTTATGTAAGACCACAATGTATCTTCTCCACTTAATAGTAGTCGTGTCATTTAAAACTAACAAGTCTTGAAGTTATGACGAATGGGCAGATTGACCAATTAAAGGTCACTTAACAGCTAAGAAACCTGTAAATGAATCAAGTATTGCAGTACACATTTCTCTGTGCTGCTAGCAAGATTCCATTAAATTCTTAGTAAATAATTTAAAATTCTCAAGTCCTTGCAGACCATAATTTGCCAGGTTATTATAATGAGAAAACCAATCTATGCAACAATCACAACTGACAAGGAGTGTTCTCTGACTCAAAGGAAATTGTGGTCTGAAATAATGTTAAAATAATTTTACATACATATTTATTCATATGCTTGTTAGCTACTGCTTGTGTGTCTTTTTCCCTATTGAAGCTGTCATGTGAGCAGTTATAGTGCAGATGAAGCCAACATAGTTCTTTCTCAGACGGAGAAAACAATATCCTCATGGAAAATTGTCATCTGTATTTTACAGAGTATAAGTGTCTATGTAATGTATTTGACACCTTTACCCAGAGTGAAATTTTACATGCACTATTTAAATTTTATATCTCACATGATACTGGAATTTATTTTACAAAGATTATATTGTCAGTTAGTATTAGTAAAACCAGGATAGCTGCATTAAAAAAATAGCTGTCAAAGAACTAACTCGCTTTGGAGATTTATTTTTGGTCAATCACAGAATAAAACAAGGAACAGGGTATAGGGTAGAAGACAAATATACTGCAAGTAACTGAATTACTGTGCATTAATTCCACTGAGGCCTTCTGATGATACCATAAACTTTGACGGGGTAGTTTGAGCAGTTTATGCAGTAACCAAAACTCCTACAAAGCATCCTAGCACCATAATTCTGTTTTGTTTTACATGGTACTATACCTAATAGCTGGATCTTAGTTACAGATCCATGACTTGTACATGCTATCACTGCATTCCGACTGTCACAGTCACACATTACATTGCTGTCTTCATCTTCATTAGGCAAGGGAGCTAATATGGATCAAATATGTAAATATTCAAAGCCTTCACATATTAGAATGGAAACCAAACCATTAGAAAGTTCCTAAATATTTGATTACAGCTTCCTTGGTGCACAGATCTTCTTGGAGAAGTAGTCAAGATAACTTGGAGCCCCATCCCCTTTTACAGAGTTTTTTATTGGGAGGATTTTCTTCAGGGGCATCCCACTTATTTATATCTTTGAGTGTGACCAGAGGCCTATTATTTCACTCTGATGCAGCATGATTCAGTCATTGCAACCCCAAGTCTTATGATCAGTTCTGCTTTAAAAGGGCACCTTGGAGTTTACGTCTCAAAATGCACTATAGTGTTCTGACATCTTAGTGTGCACAAAAGCCACTACTCTTATGTGAAGAATAGAGAAGGCCTCTCAAATCACCTTTTCATGAAAAATCAGTCCTGCAAGGCCAATATCATCTTCCGCCTCCTCCCTAAAGAGCAGGTAAGAGGAAGGAGGGGTGTATTTGGAGGAATAATGTACCTGAGTGAGAAAGGCATTTGGGGGGAAGGCTGCTCAAGAGTTAAGGAAAGCATCTGAAAGTCTGAATACTTCTCTGACATGAGCCTGCAAACCTAGAGGTTTTCCCATCACTAGTCCATACCTCCCACTCATTGCTTTGCTCTTCAGAGACTCTCATTTCCCGCCCCAACAGCTCTCCACTATTAGATTAACAGGTTTCAACAATGGGAACTGAAGTTATCCTCCATCAAAAGTTCTTTGCTGAATTATTATTTATCACTTTACATACTAGTGTAAATGCCCATTGAATTATACAGTGCAAGATCTAAACCAGTGATTCTCAGACTGAAACTCGGGAGTCACAAGTGGCTCTTTAATGTGTCTCCTGCAGCTCTTGGCAGCACATGATATGAAAACACTGTGTGATTTAATTATTAACCGATCTAAGTTATTAACCAATCAGGATGCTTTTACTATGTTATTAACTAATTGTAGAATATGTGGTCAGTCATTTTGCTGTGACAATAATAGTGAATTAATTCACATTACTGTGGCTCCTTTGGGTAATGTTGATTGTTAATTTGGCTCCTGAACCACTGAGGTCTGAGTATCACTGATCTAAACTAAACTAAAATGGGACTTTCACTCCCAGTGATGCACCATGTAAAGTCATGGGCAGAAACAGACATTACCACTACCAAGAACATACAGAATGAGCTACTCCATTACAGCGTAAACACTTCACAGCAAAGATGTCTTTTGGAGTAGTGTCCAAAGCTGGAGACAAAGGGAACATGGGAAAACTAGTGGCAATAGTGTTTCCAGGTATTGGAGACCTGACAGAAGTAGTCATGAAGAAGGAGGCAAAGGGAGTAGGACAGCAGTAAACTTGGTGCAATATACATAATAGGAGAAAATATAAGACAAGAGGGAAGAGACCTATGTTAGGACGGAATAAAGCAGGTTTGTGCTGTAGTCACTGTCTATTCAGCAGTGTTTGAACAAAATATCAGCAGTGGCATTAGCTGGTTACCAGTGTGATATCAAAACCAAGGACTGGAGTCGCTTTACATATGTGAGTTGCTGCGAGTTTAACATGAAAAATCACAATCAGTATTTAAGTGTTGAAAGCATTCCTTTTGTTGTAGGATTAACTAACTCATGAGCATATTGAGTTTGACCGACATTTATGAGATAAAAGGGAAATGTTTGTCAACTGGTAGGGTATGTGGCTCAACCCACCAGCCTACTTTCTATGGAGCACATCCTCTGAAAATGGTAGACCTACTTGTCCCTGTCTTTTAATACTGACCTTTAAAGCTGCCTCTGCCTCTTCTAAAGCAGGCTTAGCAGCCTCCAACTTTTCTTCAGCAATGGCTTTATCTGCTGAAATGCTGTCTACAATAGCCTGGGCTTTATCTTTCACTTTCTGTACTTCAGCTTTCACCTTCTCAGCAGCCTGTGCTTTCACAGTGACTTCTTTCAAAACCTAAAAATGGGGAAAAACACAAACAGCAAATATCAAAGAAAATACACTGCTGAAAGAATTTGTTACTGTGTATTAGTTTTCAGTGTAAAAATCCATCTGTCTAATTTCATATCCATGAACTATTAGGATATTCAAATAAGGATATTACATTCACTATTGTCATGCTATACCACAGTTCCTTTTTAACTCCTAATTGACTCCTCCTTCTTAAATTATTCCTTGTCAATGAGAAAATGAAAGGAAGCACAAGAAGTTAAAGAGCACTGCACGTACAAAGCTATGCCTACCATGTCAGCTTTTTCATTAGCAACCTGAAGCTCCTTTTCTTTAACCTCCAGCTCTGTGCTTAGAGCAGCCACTGATTCAGATGCCTCTTTCAATTTCTCCAATCCAGTATTCATTCTACAATTTAAAATACAAAGCAAAGAGCATAACAGGTTCCTTAGCTATTTTATGATTCTCCTTTTAAAATTATTCTTCTAACAAGATGAATATGAAAGCTACTGCCAAAAATGTTTCATGTCAAGGAAATTGGTACAAAAATTGTCATCGAAGTTTTCCATTATGTAATTTTCCACTATCCTTGTTTATCAGAAATTGGTGTTTCACAGGTTAAACAGGAATTTTCTATTAAGACAATTCAAATCGGGGAGAAACCTATGGAACTCTGCATGCACACAATGACTAAAGATTGCTGAATATTAGGGCTGTTGATTAATTGCCATTAACTCATGCGATTAACTCAAAAAAATTTATCGCAATTAATCACAGTTTTAATCGCACTGTTTAACAATAGAATATCAATTGAAATTTATTCAATATTTTAGATGTTTTTCTACATTTTCTACAATCTCTTTATCATGAAAGTTGAACTTACATTATGTACAAAAAAATAACTGCATTTAAAAATAGAACAATGTAAAACTTTAGAGCCTACAAGTCTACTCAGTCCTACTTCTTGTTCAGCCAATCGCTAAGACAAACAAGTTTGTTTACATTGACGGGAGATAATGCTGCCCACTTCTTATTTATGTCACCTGAAAGTGAGAAGAGGTGTTCGCATGGCATTTTTGTAGACAGCAGTGCAAGGTATTTACATGCCAGAGATGCTAAACATTTGTATGCCCCTTAATGCTTCCATGCTGATGACGCTCGTTAAAAAAATGTGTTAATTAAATTTGTGACTGAACTTCTTGGGGGAGAATTGTATGTCTCCTGCTCTGTTTTACCCATATTCTACCATATATTTCATGTTATAGCAGTCTTGGATGATGACTGAGCACATGTTGTTCATTTTAAGAACACTTTCATGCAGATTTGTCAAAATGGAAAGAAGGTACCAATTGGAGATTTCTAAAGATAGCTACAGTACTCGACACAAGGTTTAAGAATCTGAAGTGCCTTCCAAAATCTGAGACGGACGAGGTGTGGAGCATGCTTTCAGAAGTCTTAAAAGAGCAACACTCTGATGCAGAAACTACAGAACCCGAACCACCAAAAAAGAAAATCAACCTTCTGGTGGTGGCATCTGACTCAGATGATGAAAATGAACATGCATCAGGCCGCACTGCTTTGGATTGTTATCAAGCAGAACCCGTCATCAGCATGGACGCATGTCCTCCGGAATGGTGGTTGAAGCATGAAGGGACATATGAATCTTTAGCGTATCTGGCATGTAAATATCTTGTGATGCCAGCTATGACAGTGCCATGAGAACACCTGTTTTCACTTTCAGGTAACATTGTAAACAAGAAGCGGGCAGCATTATCTCCTGCAAATATAAACAAACTTGTTTGTCTGAGCAATTAGCTGAACAAGAAGTGGGACTGAGTGGACTCATAGGCTTTAAAGTTTTACATTGTTTTATTTTTGAATGCAGTTATTTTTTATACATAATTCTTCATTTGTAAGTTCATGATAAAAGAGATTGCACTACAGTACTCATATTAGGCAAATTGAAAAATACTATTTCTTTTGGTTTTGACAGTGTAAATATTTGTAATTAAAAATAAGCATAAAGTGAGCACTGTACACTTTGTACTTTGTGTTGTAATTGAAATTAATATATTTGAAAATGTAGAAAACATCCAAAAATATTTAAATAAATGGTACTCTATTATTGTTTAAAAGTGCGATTACTCACTCAATTAATTGTGATTATGTTTTTTAATCGCTTGACAGCGATCATTGTTGGGCTCAAGACCAGAAAGTGAACAGTAGATAACCATGTAAGGGAACACATGGCCTGTAAAAGGTGCTTTCCCCATTTTTAACTAAAACTTTCTCTCTATAGTAATTCTTGAAACTGTGAAACTAACAATTACTTTACAGGGAAGTCAGTTAAACATAGCATCCATTTCTGATTTGTGGTTCACCCAAAGAAGTCTGATTTTCAGAGGGTGGGAAGCATTTTCCAATAATTGGGATCCTTAGAAACATCTCACAATGAGACACTAAAAAATTAAGGCACCGAATCACTGGGCATTTGTTCTGGCTAGAGTTTCAAAAGTACCTTGATCCTGCAACTTGAATCATGTGACATCAAATGAATGAATGAAACATTTAATTTCTAGGTTGAAAAGCCTACATGAACAAATATTAGAAGGTAATGCCCAACCAAAGTGAGTCAAAGAATGTAGAGCAGGCTGGGAAAATTTATAGACTTTAAGGCAGAAGGTACCAATAGATCATCTAGTCTGACCTCTTGTATAACACATTTCACAGTTACCCTTGTCCTGAGCCCAATTACATGGCTAATGCACATGTTCAAATCTTGACCTGAAGACGTTAAGAAATAGAGAATTCCCTACTTCGCTTGGTTAATCACCCTTCTGTTAAAAATGTGTGTGTTATTTTTACATTGAATTTTTCTGGCTTCAGCTTCCACGCAATGGTTCTTGTTATGCCTTTCTCCACTAGATTAAAGAGCCCTTTAGAACACAGCATTTTCTTCCCACGAAGGTCATCAAGTCACCTCTCAATTTTCTTTTTGAAAAACTAAACAGATGGAGCTCATTATGTCGCTCTGTAAGGCATTTTCTCCAGCCCCTAAATCACTTTTGTGACTCTTTTCTGAACTCTCTCCAATTTCTCAGCCTCCTTTTTAAATGAGGACACCAGAACTGTACTCAGTATTCCAGTACTGGTCTCACCAATGCCATATATGCCATAATGTAGAGGTAAAAATCATCTCCCTACTCCTATTCACAACTTCCCTTTTATATATACAAGGATCTTGTTAGCCCTTTGACAAGCCATTAGACATCATAGAGGACAAACAACTCAACATGAGCTCCCAGTGCAATGCTGTGACAAAGTCGCTGCTCTTTTGGCAAGCTGAAAATGCTAGGTTTCTTGCCTGCTGGACAGGAAGATACAGGAAGGCTTAGGCAGCGTGAATCACCAGACACAGCAGCACAGAGCTGCCAGTCAGAGGAGAGGGTGGCTGCCGGGACTGAAGCAAAGAACTTTGATACTTCAGATATAAGAAAAGGAGAGGATGAGTAGAGCAACAGAATGGAGCTGCCAGGTCGACGGCAGGCTAGGGACCTAGATGTTGACAACCACTAAAGCCAAGCCTTGGAAGATGTGCACTGATCTGAGATCTGTGGTGGCTGGGAAGGTCAGAGATTTGGTCTGGCCTTGTGGTTTTAAAAGACCCTAACCATTACCAGAAAGGCAAGATGATGGATTCATTTGGCAACCAAGCCACAGTATGCACTGTAGTTAAGTAAGCTACAGTCTGATTCCTTGCTGAAGGTGTCCAATACTGGTTGCAATTTATTTAATTGCAAATTGTAGACTGGTGCTGCAGGGGCCAAGCAATTTAATTTACACATCATTCCTTGATTTACACACTATTTTAAACATATTTAAATATGAACTGTAGAGACTTGGATGATTTAAAAAATATATTTGAAAATTATCTGGATCATATCAAACCACCTTGTTGGGTTTTCTTGAGTAGAAGGTCCATCATCCTGAATCTGCAGAGGATATACTGAGGCTCTTGGGCCATGAAAGCAGAAAGCATGCATCAGAGGAATGAGAGATGCGCTCCAGAATTCACAGAAAGGTTAATACCCATCTGTTTCACATAAAACAAGATGAGATTTTAACAAGAAAGCACCCTTCTGATAAACTAGATGTTCTTTTGAATGTAAAATCATACCACATGTACGTGTTCCATTGCTCATGTGAAAAATATGGAAATAAGAGCTTACTGTGCAAAGTGATGTTGTTTATGACTGAATTGCTTTGAAAAACAAACTAAGATTCACGTTTATTTACCTGTTAAGTACCACTTACATTATTTCATTGTTATAGATTTAAATACTCTAGCTTGTAGGCCAAAAAATGGCACTAATATTGGATAAAATATATTAATACCCACAAAATGAAAAACCTGAGAGGCAAATTCAAATCCAACATCAGTGTTTTCTTTATAAAGTGATCAGAATCATCAATTGAGATCACCATTGATTGTCATGAGCTGTTCTGTACCCATTTGGGGGAGAGAAAAAAAGAAAAAGGAACAAATAAGGCATTTTACCTATTGGCCAATGTCTTCACCTCAGCATGCTTTTCTTTGTAGGTAGCTTTATATCCCTGAATAAAGGATAGGTAGGATTTTGGAGTCACATGTGTAGAACGTCTATATCTCTGGAAGTAGTCAACACACTTCTCTGCTACCCCATCCTGGAAGGAGCCCATACACTGCACCACCTCCTTCTTGGTTTCAGTGGTGCAGTCAATTTCATATGAGGATAGGAAGTGTTCAGATACTTTAGAGAAAGGAAAAAAAGGTTGTGAACTAACCCATTTAAATTAGTTTCTTACATGTAAATATTGAAGAAAACTTCTACGACAGCATGCAGTGTGTCAGCAACATCATGGAGAAGAGTTTTACCTAATTTACCTATCAGGTCTCAAAAAGCCACTGAACTCAACATCATTTTCTGGAGTGCATGTGGGCTGAACAAGTGGCATATTTTTAAATTTTTATTTATATGGGTCCATATGCAAACACACATTATACTATCTTCATCAGAGTGCTGAATAGATCAGGCAACACTTGTTGGCTAGAGACATCTGCAAGTAGATTCTACACAAAGGGTTCTGGCTATCTGATACACAGCATATTATTCTCTTCTGCACATCTGTCTGGAACTCTAGATATTAAGAGTCAACAAAACTGTTTTAAAGCTGTGAACCAGGAGGGGCTTTTACAGAAATGTTTCAATTTACTTGAAACAAAACTTTTTTCAGATTTTTTGTTGTGATTTAGCCATTTTTCACCCTTTGTGGTTTTTTTAATTGATCAAATTTGAAAATGAAATGCCATTTTGAAATAAAACGTCAAGTCAAATGAAACGTTTCAAAGATGTTGAAACAAAAAGTGTCAACTTTTTGGGGTTTTGGGGGGTTTTTTTGGTTGAAACTATTTGTCAAATTCAACCTGAATTCACAAATAGTTTTGGAGCCCCCAAAAATGCATTTTTCAGCAAAAAATGTATTAGCTGAAAAAGTTTTGCCAAACTCTAGTAGCGAGCCTGCAATGCTATCTGTTTAGCACTACATTCTAAAAACAAAGTAAACAATTGGGGGAAGTTATATGGTAAACACTGATGTGATACCTCAGCTTTCCAAAATACTTAGGAAGTTTATTTGTGTGAGAGGTTGATCACTGACAATTAAGCTCCCCAGATGGCCTGGCTAAGATGCTACAGGTTATGTGGTGATATTTTGCTTATCATCAAGTCCTATGGCCACTAAATAAAGCTTCATTCTACTGACACTACCCTCAGAAACCACTATTGAAGCTAGTGGCCGTTGCTAATAGGGAGACACACCTGGTCACTAGAGTTGGTCGTCTCAATACTTATTCATTTCACATAGGCATTTGAGCAGCCAACAGAACATAAGAGCTCTTAGTCATTTCTGATCTTGCTATTTTCAAATCAATGACTTAAAGGTAAAATATTCCATATCCCAGCACCTAACTCCTGAGCCATCCAGCCCCCCATATGTAGCAATCACCACATTCCACCTACTGTTCTCAGGCCGTATGAGAGAAAGAGAAAGGAACATGTGCATTGTACTTACACAGCTGATCCAGAACTCAGCCTTCTGTATTTGTCTTCATCTAACAGTCTTGTTCACAGTCAAAGTGGGCATTGACACCTTACAACCTTGGCTTACATATCTGTCAGTTACTGTTTGAACTTAACTCTCCCACAAAAGACAGACTTGCACTGAGTTTGTTATCCTCTCCATGACTCTGTGGCCATACTTTCACACAGGGACGGATGCCTTTATTTTTTCACATTTATTCTCAATAGTACGGGTTGGCTTTTACCAAAATGAAGGTTTAGGGTGAAGTTACCCATGTGAAAGGGATCAGGACACAGCCTATGTCCCATTTAAACCCTGAAAATGGGGTATACGACAGGTATAGGCATTGTGCCAGTGTCCTGCCCGGGATTCCTTAGTTCCCAGTTTTCAGAGCTGCTAAGCACCCTTAGCTCCCATTAACTTCAAAGGTAGTTGTGTGAGTTCAGTATTTCTGAAATTGAGGCTGTTACTCTAAAAACTCATTGTATTGCTCATGTGGTTAAATAGAGCTATCAACTCTGCTTATTTTGAAAACTAACATGGTATTAAATCCCTTTTATTCCAACTCATAGGTAGAATATTCATTTTACTTTTGAATTAAAATGATCCTCCTCACTAGTTTTGAACCTATTCCCCCCACTCTCCAAACCCTACATCATCATCCACCTATTTCCTGGCGACGAGCCTCTAGAACATTCCCATTAACTATTAACTTAGTGAGAAAGTGAGCACTCTATAATAAAAGTTTTCTTCAGAAACAATCGCGTTGAAGATGATTTCATTAAAATATACTCATTTGTGATGTTAATGATATAGTTATCCTCCCAAAAGAAAAAAGTGCAACCAGCATAATCTTCACATTTCTTCCTCCCATGTTGTCTAATTATTCTTTTGTGGCTTATCTGCTAAATATGCACACACTCTAGTAATGTTTTCGGGAAGAATTCCCTTCTTGGCTGGTTTCAAATGTGCGGGTTTAATTTCTTTCTTTTGTTCAGCGTTTTCACATCAGGACTCTTTCAGGTAAGGTTCAACAATATGGAATGTTTTAAAATATTAGCTATCAGGTTACTTAAACAATGGGTCCAGAAATATATTTTACTAAATAATGTTCTGATATTTTTCTAGTCAACTTATAGAGTAATGGATGTGGATTTTTTCAGCAACATTCCACGGCCGCTTTTAGCAGATATTTGGGCAGCATGCAAAAATATGAAGTGGAGCATCTTAGAGAAGGCAGTGAGGGGAGAAGGAAACTTAGAGGGTAGCCAATTATGACTTAAAACTTGTTCTAAGTCCCGAAAATAAAGTATTTATTATTTGTTTTTAATCTTTTCTTTGAATGACTAAAGGGTATCTTTAAAGGTGAAGGATTTTTCCAGTATCACATTTTAAGCCTTTTTTATATAATGGACATTTGCCTTTAAAAGAGACACAATAGAGTCTTTTATGATTCTGGGTGTCACAGACTACACTATTAACCTCAAAGAGAACAAAGAAAAGCTTAAATCCAATATTATGAGTCGAAGAAGCTTGCCCATTTAGTAAGGGGGGAATTTTCCCTATTTACTTCATTGAATTTCCAGATGCAGCATAGCAGGACTACAGAGCTGCAACTAACACTCACCTGCAACCAGTGCATCCTTAGGCCACCGGCTGAACCAGTCTGTAGTGCAACCAGAAATAAGGGCAGGGAACTTCAGGGCTCTGTTTCGGAATTTTTCACCCACTGGTGAAAAACAAAGTACTACATGGAGGTTCTGACGGACTCTGGTCATGAAATATTCATACAAATTCTCATTGGTTGGAGGTCGACGTGGGTGCTCCTTTTTCATGACAGGTATGAGATCACTAGTGATCTCATCAATTTCATCACGTGCAAACAAGTTGGAGACCTTAACAAAAAGAAGCAGATTTTTTAAAAGCAGTTCGGTGGGCTATTGTGACTGGAATGATGTACTGTGGAAGCTCTCATTCACAGAGCATGCCAAGTAGGTGCATACAGTTCTGATATAAACACATTGGGCCCCTCGCTCCACACCATTTCATCAGTTTTATGTCATTGACTCTATCAAAACCAGTGGAGTCACACTGGTAACAAATTGGTCTAAGAATAGAGAATCAGACCCACTATGACTAATTTTACTTGCTGCTTTAATACACTTGGGTTAATTTCCCTCGTTTTAGTGTTAAGTTAACTAGTTAAAACACCTCTCTGGAACAAAACCTGCCACCCTAAATACAATGTATGTTAGTAATTTTAGGTATAACTTTACCTCCTTCCCGCACAAGCCTATTTTACTTCTGAAAGTTACTAAAACTCTGAATCAAACAGAAAACTTTATAAATGTTTAAGAAACAAAGTTCACATTGTTTCAGATCTCATCCTTTATTTCTATAATGTGTCTCAGTTTGAGTTTGTCAAGACATCTAAAAGACCTGATTCACATATTTTCATTCTAAGGGATTAATAGCTCTGCACTAAATTTCATAGAATCATAGAATTATAGAAGATTAGAGTTGGAAGAGACCTCAGGAGGTCATCTAGTCCAACACCCTGCCCAAAGCAGGGCTACCACCAACTAAATCATCCCAGCCAGGGCTTTGTCAAGCAGGGCCTTAAAAACCTCTAAGGATGGTGATTCCACCACCTCCCTAGGTAACCCATTCCAGTGCTTCACCACCATCCCAGTGAAATAGTTTTTCCTAATATCCAACCTAGACCTCCCCCACTGCAACTTAAGACCATTGCTTCTTGTTCTGTCATCTGCCACCACTGAGAACAGCCGAGCTCCATCCTCTTTGGAACCCCCCTTCAGGCAGTTGAAGGCTGCTATCAAATCCCCCCTCTTCTCTTCTGCAGACTAAATAAGCCCAGTTCCCTCAGCCTCTCCTCGTAAGTCATGTGCCCCAGCCCCCTAGTCATTTTCGTTGCCCTCCGCTGGACTCTCTCCAATTTGTCCACATCCCTTCTGTAGTGGGGGGGGCCCAAAAATGGATGCAATACTCCAGATGTGGCCTCACCAGTGCCAAATAGAGGGGAATAATCACTTCCCTCGATCTGCTGGCAATGCTCCTACTAATGCAGCCCAATATGCCATTAGCCTTCTTGGCAACAAGGGCACACTGTTGACTCATATCCAGCTTCTCGTCCACTGTAATCCCCAGGTCCTTGCCGCTTAGCCAGTCGGTCCCCAGCCTGTAGCAGTGCATGGGATTCTTCCTTCCTAAGTGCAGGACTCTGCACTTGTCCTTGTTGAACCTCATCAGATTTCTTTTGGCCCAATCCTCCAATTTGTCTATGTCACTCTGGACCCTATCCCTACCCTCCAGCGTATCCACTTCTCCCCCCAGCTTAGTGTCATCTGTGAACTTTCTGAGGGTGCAATCCATCCCATCATCCAGATCATTAATGAAGATGTTGAAAAAAACCAGCCCCAGGACAGACCCCTGGGGCACTCTACTTGATACTGGCTGCCAACTAGACATCAAGCCGTTGATCACTATACATTGAGACAGATGATCTAGCCAGATTTCTATCCACCTTATAGTCCATTCATCCAATCCATACTTTTTTAACTTGCTGGCAAGAATACTGTGGGAAACTGTAACAAAAGCTTTGCTAAAGTCAAGGTATATCACGTCCACCGCTTTCCCTATATCCACAGAGCCAGTTATCTCATCATAGAAGGCAATCAGGTTGGTCAGGCATGACTTGCTCTTGGTGAATCCATGTTGACTGTTCCTAATCACCTTCCTCTCCTCCAAGTGCTTCAAAATGGATTCCTTAAGGACCTGCTCCATGATTTTTCCAGGGACTGAGGTGAGGCTGAGCGGTCTGTAGTTCCCCGGATTCTCCTTCTTCCCTTTTTTAAAGATGGGTACTATATTTGTCTTTTTCCAATTGTCCGGGACCTCCCCTGATCACCACAAGTTTTCAAAGATAATGGCCAATGGCTCTGCAATCACATCAGCCAACTCTCTCAGCACCCTCAGAGGCATTAGATCCGGGCCTATGTTCTGGTGCATGTCCATCTTTTCTAAATAGTCCTTAACCTGTTCTTTCACCACTGAGGGCTGCTACAGCTTTGCCTCACCACACAGTCAGATTCTGTGATGGAGAGATGACCAATTTGTATTAAGATTCCAGTGCCGCATATCACTTGAGACTGCATTTGTAAAACTGCTGCCATGATGTCTAAGAGACTACTCACATGAATCAAGCTACCCATAATCAGGCCCTCTCTCTGCTCCCTGATTACAAAACCGAAAAGGATGAAAGAAACAAGAAAGTAAAAATTGTACCTCTCCAGATGATAAAACATTATTCAGGTATTCTAAGAAAGACTCATCTTTGATCTCATTATCTGTAAAAATGAAGCTGATGCCCTTTCCTTGTAGCCCTGCTGTCCTGTACAAGAGCTTCAGGTCTTCCATCAGGTTTGAAGTGTTGTATGATCTAGAGAAAAAACAGTTATGTTGCCACTCAAAACTTTTAAACGGGGATGTTGGTAAACAAATGTGCCCAGCAAAAATATCTTTGCATTCAATGCACAAACTATGTAATTATGCTCAAGAATATCCATTTAGAGTGGTTAAAGAGCCACAGCCCATATTAAGTCTCAATTTAAATAAACATACCCAATTTGTAATTTTGTCATCATTTATTTTTTTAAAAGAGGTAAATGTTGCCCCCTTTCTCTGTTACTCTTAAAGACCCACTCAAACACAAAAGGGATTAATGATGCATGGCAAACAAACCAACCACACAAAACACACTCTCAAAGGCACAAAGTAAACTAAATTAAGAAAACATTTTTCTCCAGGCTTTTAATTACAGTAATCTTAGGCATTAACCTGTTATTTTTTGCTTATTTAAGAACGACATTCAGACTGGGAGGACACATTGAATTTCAGCACAGAAAACAAAGGCAAACATTTTTAAAAAGCTCTTAAGGAGGCACACGTTTCCATTCTCAACTGTGGTTGCCACTATATGCTCTGCTTGTAGAAGGAATCCAAAACCCAGAAATCAGAGTACATGTTTTTGAAATATATCTTGTTCAACAGCCTACCTTGTTAAAGTGATCTGGAATGTAGCATAGCCAGCTATGAATGATGCAAGTTTAGTCAAGCTCTGCTTTCCTGAGCCACCAACTCCAACGAGGAGAGCATTTCCACGAGGGGTGCGAATCACACGAGAAATCTACAGATCAACATGGCAGTTTGTTGCTAAATATACGGAATGTTTGTGCCAGAACAATTTAAGCCACCATAGCAAGGGGAACCTTTGAATTAGTGAGAACCTTAGAATTATCACACTTTTATTTTGTGAATTACAAATCCTTTAATTTTGAAAACTTATTTGTATGAGAAACTGATCACATGTAAACACAACATACCATTATAGCACAGGAAGTGCTGTTTCCACTTTAAATATTACTATATGATAACAGTGTTGTCTTGTCAGAATAGATTTCTACAGGATTTCCTGTAATACCATATAAACCTTATGCTCTATATCTCCCTTACTGTTCACTGTAAATTTAACATTAATTTTGATTTCTCATTTGTGTAAATCAAAAGTAACTCATTAGTCATCAGAGTTACTGGTGTAGTGTCAGACTGAGAGCTATTAATGTAACTTCAAAATATTGGGGAGAAGAAGGATAGTTTAGAGGACAAAGCCCTGGGCTGGGATACAGGAAGCCTAGGTTCAATTTGCACGTCAACCATAAGCTTTTTGTGCAACTTTGGGCAGCTCACTTAATCTACTCTCAAGAATCAGGGGGTAGCCATGTTAGTCTGTATCTACAAAAACAACAAGGAGTCTGGTGGCACCTTAAAGACTAACAGATTTATTTGGGCATAAGCTTTCGTGAGTAAAAACCTCACTCCTTCGGATGCATTAAGGTGCCACCAGACTCCTTGTTGTTAATCTACTCTGTGAGTCGGTCTTCCATCTGTGAAATGGTGTTCCTGTTGCCCTGTTTTCCATGGGCATCATGATGATAAAATCCATTAATGATTCTGAGACATCCCCATACCATGGTCATGAGTGCCATGTAAGTACCTAGATAGATAAAGCAAAGTACTGTACAGTTTTAAGAAGCACAATCCTCTGTTTCCACAATCAGCCACCTTCACTGTAGTAGTGGCATTTTTATATATTATTGGGCTAGAACATTTCACAAGTGGAGTTCCTTTTCCTTCCCATCTTACTATTTTAAATGTATTTTAAACAAAGGAATAGTGATCAGATCATGCCCCACATTTCCCTTCATACCTAGCTCTGTCATAAGGGTACATCTACACTTCGAGATGGAGGCAGAATTTCCAACTTGAGGAGACCTATGTTTAGCACGTTAGCTTGATTAGAGCTAACACAGGCATGTCTCCTCGAGCTGGAAATTACACTTCCAGTTTGAGGTGCAGATGTACCCTTAGTGACAAGAGCCAAATTCTCCTTCAATTTACATGCAAATGACTGCACTGATCACCAGGATAATGGGCCTGCAGTGAACAAGGTGGGCTGAGGAGAGTGGTATCTACTCTAGGGTTAGGTTTGGTGGATTTGCTCAGCAGGATGGGGAATTCCTTTAAATGAACTCATTCTCACATAGACAGCAGGAATGTCAGCAGTGAAGATCAGGGATTGGCTCCTAGCTGTCTTTTAAAAAGCCAGGTATAGGCTTTGCTATGGGCTTCTCTGCAACCTAGGTTATTACTGGGAGATGCAAGTCTTTGCCCCAATGGGCCCTGTCTTGTGTTACTGGATGAAAGCTCTGTTTTAAAGCACCGTCTTAGGCTCCACATCCTCACTCCGTCTCCTTGCCACCATTCAGCAGGTTTGTTAGGGGCAGACAATGCCTCCCCCAACAGGTCTGACTGGTACATTGCAACCAGCCTGGGAGAACAGCCAAGGAAGCAATAAATAGCCCCGCAGACGGGAATCCTCTTCAGCCGTCACGTATTTGTCCATGGCTCTGGAGCCCAGTTGCTGAGAGTTCATCATCTGCTCTCAATGTGATGCTGTAGCTAAGAGGACTAATGGGATCCTCTGATGTATAAAGTAATATGAAGTAGGAGTAGGAAAGTGTATTCCCTCTGAATACAGCATTAGCAAAACCGTTACTGGAATCATATGTCCAGTTCCCGTGTCCACTCTTCTAAAAGGATGTTGAGCTGGAAAGGGTTCAGAAAAGAGCTATACAAGTATTTGAGATCCAGAAACATGCCTTATAATAAGAGACTGACATTTAATCTATTTAGTTTAGCCAAGAGAAGGCTAAGAAGTGACTTGATCATGGTCTATTAGAACTTATGTAAGAAAGAGACATCTGACAGTAGATTCTGCTCTTTAACCTACCAGAAAAAGGCACAGTGAGATTGTCATGCTTAAACTAGGCAAATTCAGACTAGAAATAAGGTTCACATTTTTAAGTGAAGGTAATTAGCCATTGGAACAATTTACCTAGGGTTTTGGTTGATTCTCTGTCAATAGAAGTCTTTAAGTCAAGATTGGATATCTTTCTAACAGATATGACATAGCTCAGACAGAAGTTATGGGCTTGATCCCACAGTTACTGGTCAAGGTTCAATGGCCTGTGAAGTCAGGCAAGTAATCACAGTGTTACCATTTTGCCTTAATCTATGCATGTATACATTTACGAACAGTTAATGCTGTTGCATAAGGGTTTGGACCAAAATTTATACCCGGACAGGATTACCACCACTACTTACCAGACTAAAAATTGTTAGCAGAACCTCACTAATTTGCTCTGAGTTACTTTTTTCAGATTACCCAATTTTTTAAATTCATTTTTCAACAATCAAACACAAAAATGCAATTTTCAACAGTACATCAAAGTTGGGGTTTTTTATTTCAACAAGTGTCATTTAGATTTATTTACTTACTACTTACTAGTACTTTTTTACCACATTTTTTTCAATTAATGTAATCTAGTTCAAGTAATCTAATATATGACCTCACCACAACTTTTATTAAAATAATGGCTGAGAAACAGGGCTGAGCCCACGGTGCAGTGGAGAAATACAAGGTTTGCAGTTTACAAAAGAAGAATTAGGGTGATATTACTATTTAGTTTAGAAATTTTCTGTGTTTCCATCATCCTGGGTTCCACTGTGCTCGGAATTATAATCAGCTGTGTGCAGTAAGTATAATGAGTTTCACGTTCTGAGGTTTGACAAAACAAGAGCGCATACTGTGAATCAGGTGTGGAAATTTGTAGCTAGACTTTGCCCCCATTCTAAATGGCTGTGTGGCTGAGTAAGGCTGACCTTGCTTTTCCCTACAAAGATGCTTTGGTGCTACCCCAACTGTGGGTTTTGTCATTATGGGCAGAGTGAGGGATGGGGGTGGGGGAAGGCAATACTACTTTCTGCAACCCAGTTAATATAAAAAGGCAAAGAAAAGCATTGTATGTAAAACCATGGTTCTACTTCTCTGGCTAGATGGGAGAGGAAAGGTGTGTTTGATGCATTTTATAGAGGGTTGATGTGCTCTATTACCCATTCAGGTGAGGAAAGCTCCAAGGAATTGTGTTTCCTTTGGATGCCTCACCACTCGGTATTTGGAACTGTGGTTAAATGCACATCTAGCCCTTTATATTTCTATGCAAAAATCTAGACTTGTGTTATGTTACTTTAAAACAGAAACAAAATACAAGCCTATACCCCCACTTTATTTGACAGAATAACCGAAATCCCACATGATTACAGAAAGTAAAATCTTTTATAATGTCAAAGTTCTGGTCATGAAAAGGCAGGAGGAGGAGAAAGTGCTCATCCTACCTTGACTAAATGAATCATAGCATCTTTGAAGAACACCATGTCCAGACGTGCACCCCGAATGCTCTCGTTGTATGTGTGTAGAAACATATTTAAACGATCCTTTAGGTGATTAAAAGATTCAATTGGCTCATAGATTTTAGGCATATCAAAGACAGTTTCTTCTGGCTCTTCACCTGTGAGAAGAAGTGATAACAAGTTGTTAAGAGTGGAAATTACTGAGGAGGGCTGAGTTTTCTCTTTCCCTAAAGATATGCTCTAGATATCAGCCATCACATTTTTGTAACCTCTTTCCTATGTCCTCTGAAGTAGATGGATGAATGATTTAGGGCCTGCGCCTACTCCATTGGAAATCAATCATATCTGAGTTAAATGACATCAGGACTGAGACCTTAACAAAGTACTATAACTGGTAGCAGATGCCACACTTTTTTTTTTTTTTTTAATGCAGTATTCACTGGGAATGTAAGTTTATTTTACAAACAAGCAGACACCGTGCACATAAACAAGGGGGCCCATTTATTATGCTGTATTCTCTATTAATATGATATATTGGCAGTTTAAGTACATGCCCATTGCAAACTAAGTTGACGTACCTCATTTTATTTACCTCAGACAGAAATTAAACTGTAGAAAGGTCAGAACAATTGACTGCATGATATACAATTCAATAAAAAGTCTCTAAAATAAAATGCATGAACCACTTCTTTCTTTATTAAATCTAGAACATTTAAATTCCTCATATACCAGCATCTGAAAAAAAAAGCTATGCAGTTTTCCTAGGCATATAACATGGGCAGAGAAAGGCTACACCCATAATTTAAGTTATGTTTTTCCATGAGGCTCTGCTATGTGGCAAGACATAATACAGCTGCTCAACATAGCTATGAAAAAGTGAATGCAGGTAAACATGCATATACTAAGCACCTGGCCAAAGTTTATCTTCATTTGTATCCTAATATTAATCAATTATGGATAGAGACATGTGGTGCAAAGAGGTGGATAGCACATTTCGCTACCACACTCCCCCACATCCCTTGCTGACAGTGAAAATTATACACAACTAAATTCTGCTCTCAATTACATGCTTAAAACTCCACAGACTTTAGGATTTTATCCTATATACTTCAGAGAGATAATGCCATGGCACATTCTCTGTGAAAAGCATTAATTCGCTATGACCATTGGGTATTTCTAGTAGATACAGGGTGCAGCATCAATAGGCTTCTGCTTTCCTTCCTATTACCTCAAAAATTACATGGTCTCATCACCGTAATTTCGGTATTCTAAGGGTTAATGAGCAATTGTTAAGAAGGTATAATACCCATAACTTGATTGCAACATCAAAATGCTTAATCTGAACTGTGCATACATCATCAAGTCCAGCTGCTTTGCCATTTTTCAGGTGCCTTGTTCCAGCATTGAGTTAATCTATTGTAGTCATCAAGCACCTTACATCACGAAAGAGTTTTATAACCAGTGTTCAGAGGTGAAAGTAAGGCGGTTTGGTCCAGTCCGGCATACCGGCAAGAGCCAGTATGCCGTGCCAGACTGGACCGGCTTCTCCGGCAGTGATTTAAAGGGCCTGGTGCTCCAGCCGCTGTGGGGAGCCCCGGGTCCTTTAAATCACTGCCGGAGCTCCGGCAGCCGGGCTCAGGCAGGGATTTAAAGGTCCCAGAGCTCGGCCCCTGAGGGGAGCCCCGCGCCCTTTAAAGCACAGCCCGAATCCCGCTGCCGGAGCTCCAGTGGTGCTTTAAAGGTCCCAGGGCTCCCCGCAGTGGCAGGAGCACCAGGCCCTTAAAATCCCCGCCGGAGCCCTGCCGCCGCTACCCCAGCGATGGCAGGGCTCCAGCAGTGATTTAAAGGGCCTGGGGCTCCCTGCAGCGGCAGGAGCACCGGGCCCTTTAAATTGCTGCTGGAGCCCCAGGAGCCGGGCTCCGGCGAGGATTTAAAGGGCCCAGGCTCCCCGCAGTGGCTGGAGCCCCAGGCCCTTTAAATCACCCCCGGAGCCCTGCCACCACTACCCCAGCCGTAGCCCGAGTCCTGCCGCCCCGGGGTGGCGGTGGCAGGGCTTCCGTGGTGATTTAAAGGGCCCAGAGCTCCATGGTGGCTGGAGCCCCGGGCCCTTTAATTTGCCCCTGAGCCCCGTGGCTCCCAGCCGCCTCTACAGCTGGTAGCTCTGGAGTGCTTTAAAGGCCCTGGGGCTCCCAGCCACAGCCGGAGCCCCAGGGCCTTTAAATCTTGAAAGGCCCCGCCTCGTCCCATTGAGGCCACGCCTCTTCCCATTGAGGCCACGTACCAGTAAGTCCTTTAAGTTACTTTCACCCCTGCCAGTGTTGTGCCTTTGGATACGACAGCTGGTAAGGTAGAACTGAGGTTATGGAATGAAAGACTACACGCAGTTGGACACACTGAAATAAATCTGGAACCCTAGGAGGACTTTTCTGGAGGGGCCAATACAGACTGGTCAATGTAGTGATGCCTGAATAAACTGGCAAATCAAAGACTAATGTGATCAAATGGGGCTACTTTAATTACACGAATATATGTGAGAACAGTGAGGTGCAGACCATAGACTCATAGTCTTTAAGGTCAGAAGGGACCATTATGATCATCTAGTCTGACCTCCTGTACAACGCAGGCTACAGAATCTCACCCACCCACTCCTGTAACAAACCCCTAACCTATGTCTGAGTAATAATAATATATGGAGATATACCTATCTCATAGAACTGGAAGGGACCCCGAAAGGTCATTGAGTCTAACCCCCTGCCTTCACTAGCAGGACCAAGTACTGATTTTGCCCCAGATCCCTAAGTGGTCCCCTCAAGGATTGAACTCACAACCCTGGGTTTAGCAGGCCAATGCTCAAACCACTGAGCTATCCCTCCCCATTTACCAACTCTTTGGGGAGACCTGTATGAAGGAGGACCTCACTGTAGTGATGGAAAGAGTCCTCGCTTGTGCATGGTTCTGGAAAAGCCTCTAGTTTGTGACAAGGATACGAGAAAAGGAGAACCTCAAAAATACATAGTAGCTGTATTAAAGAAACCATCCGATAATCGTGGAGAAGGATGAAGTCTGAAAATTTTATTTTTTCCAAAAAGCTGATTAGTTCAGAAGGATGAAGCGATCATGATTAAAGGAGAGTAATAGGAAATGAGGGATTTGTGTTAAAAGTACTGTGGGTGACATTTTTACTTCTCTGAATTTGTCTATTTACTTCTATTTACCTGATCTGTTCTTCATTTTTAGAGTGACAGCAGTCTAAATGTGTTGTCATTTACAAGTACATAATGGGGGGAGGACTTCTTATCAAGATGGATGTAATCAAGGAAATAGCTTTTCATCAAACATGACTTATAGCAAATAGCAAACATGATTCTGGGATGTATTAACAGGTGTGTTGTGAGCAAGACACGAGAAGTCATTCTTCCGCTCTACTCTGCTCTGGTTAGGCCTCAGCTGGAGTATTGTGTCCAGTTCTGGGCACCGCATTTCAAGAAATGTGAGGAGAAATTGGAAAGGGTCCAGAGAAGAGCAACAAGAATGATTAAAGGTCTTGAGAACATGACCTATGAAGGAAGGCTGAAAGAATTGGGTTTGTTTAGTTTGGAAAAGAGAAGACTGAGAGGGGACATGATAGCAGTTTTCAGGTATCTAAAAGGGTGTCATAAGGAGGAGGGAGAAAACTTGTACACCTTAGCCTCTAAGGATAGAACAAGAAGCAATGGGCTTAAACTGCAGCAAGGGAGGTCTAGGTTGGACATTAGGAAAAAGTTCCTAACTGTCAGAGTGGTTAAACACTGGAATAAATTGCCTAGGGAGGTTGTGGAATCTCCATCTCTGGAGATATTTAAGAGTAGGTTAGATAAATGTCTATCAGGGATGGTCTAGACAGTATTTGGTCCTGCCATGTGGGCAGGGGACTGGACTCGATGACCTCTCGAGGTCCCTTCCAGTCCTAGAATCTATGAATCTATGAATCAAAAACTAGAACTCCGCAAAGTAAACTCGAGGAGCTCTGCTAACATTAATAGTTCACACATCCTTTGCCAGGCATGCAATGAAAACAAGAACTCCTCTCAATTTCAATGGGAATTTTGAAACTACTACAAATTTATGAATCCTTAATTGTACATTAGTTCTGTGTACACAAAGTAATTTATTTACAGCAATCTTAAAAATAATTACATTTAATTGATAAGTTTTTTAAAGTTTGGATATTAATCTGTTACCCAGCATTTTGCATGTTAACATCAAAATTATCTTGAAATGCTGAATTAAGCATTTCAGGTTTCATCTGATGAAACTATTAATAAGAAGATAATTAAAAGCAAAAGTCATTTTCATAGAATTGCTTGTAAGTTAGTAACCCTATAAAATCTTAAACCGTTTCTTTTCTGTATGTGGAAGACAGCTCTGCAGTGATATTTCTGTCATATTTCCAACTCACCAACACCTCTTGTACATTCGTTCTGCTAACATTTCAGTTATTTGGACACAACTATAAAATGTTTTCTACAAATAAAAGACATTCATAAAGCTATTACTAGTAGTTTTTATACTGTTACACAACAGTATATAAATGCTTAATTCTAACATTATGAGCAATAGTGATACCCCTCAAAGTGAAAGTCATACAGGGATGTTTCATCCAAGCACCCTACACTTATAGTTTATTTCCTAATAAACTATGTACAGTGTTTTTAGCCAGATTCTCCAAAGTTAAAAAAAACACCACCACTCATTTCTGGCTGGCTCACATATTAATCTTATTTTTAAGTGATTTTTCTTTCTCTTGACCTAACTTGAAATATAATACACTTCCTTTAAATAAAGTCTCATCAGATTTTTTCCCCTTAGGATAGTTCTTTGTGGGTTTGTGTTTATTTTTTACCATTATACTGTATATTGATTCATTATACTGACAATTATATTTAGGTATTTTCAGAGAGTTGTACCATTTCACAGATAGTGACTAAGAGAAATATGTGACTAAGAAATATGTGACTAAAAGCTCAGTCCTGCTCCTGCTGAAGTCACTATGATTTTTACTATTGAGTTCAAAGGTGGCATGATCAGGCCTTAAGAAGATGACAGACAGCAGAAGTACTTGGATAAGCAACAAGAGCAGTAGCAGATTTTAATGAATATACCTGTCACCTTGATCCCG